GAATAAAGTCAAGTCTTAGTAAGACAATACCTTTTTTGCCCACACTAGGATTTTCTCTTGTATCGTGGTTGCGTTTACAAACATACAAGTTCACGCACACATGAAAAAAAGTAACAGTAATTAAGGTTCATAACGTTACAAAGATAATATAAAGGTGGTTGACCAAGAAAAGGTTGAGAACGCCTGATCTAACCCCCTTCATAGTTACAAGACATAAGTCTACCCAGGCATTTAATATTCTCACTACAGTTTGCCCTGCAACTTAGTCCCCCAATTCACCCCAAAATCACGTTTTGGGGCGAAACGGGGGACACAAACACAATAAGTCTTAAATGTATTGAAACTTCGCGAAGAAAAAGAAAGGAGATGAAAGAAAATAATTAGGAAAACAAAACAATAGGAGCACTTTATTTCACTTCTAAACTCTTTTTTACTTTATTTTAGTAATAATTGTAATGGTATAGACAATGAAACGACGACGAGATTGTAATCTCTTTGATTGGGCGGGAAAATAATTGATCGCTGAAAAAGGACAAAATTAATTATACCTTCAGACTTACCCACCTACAGTCGATTTTCTGATATAATCCATTTGTTATAGGGTTGACAATTGAAACACGATATATTATTTTTAATTAATAGTAGCTTAGGACATACTTAATTCTTTTTGTTTAATTTTTCAAAATAAAAGTAGCCTATTTTACTCTCTAGTACATCAGTTAACTGTTTTAAAGAATACAAACAGGTTTACAGTTTTTTTATATTAACGTTATGAAACAGTGTGATATACGATATACAACTTAAAAGTTCATATTTAAATGACAAGTTAATTGCTGGGTTGGAGACGTACCGAAGCCGTGCTGGATAGGTTAGTCTGCAAAAGCATCAAGACAGTGTTGCCCGATATGTTAACTATATGTTTAAGCGTAATAAAAAACTTCAACGGCACCTAATTAATTTTAAACCCTATTTAAAAATAAATATAGATCATAGTGCTTATAAACTGCTCAATATTCAATTTAACTACCAAATAAGTCTCCAACCGAAATAATAATTATTCAGTTTTGACACTCACCCTAAAAAATATTAGCAAAAAACTCCCCATCAAAGGTGCTGATGGACGTGACAACCCTACATTACTTTCACAGAGAACCTATTACACTTGATCGTCGATAACGGCGAAATTAAAAATGTTTGCTTCTGGCATATTTATTCGAAACCTATTAACTGGTACTGCTGAGGCTGGAGTCGATAATCCGACAGGCGAGTGTGAATATGTGGAGGGAGCTGACATGTGTTACATACGTACTTGCGTATCATCGACCTTTTTTCAGTCATCATCAACAGCCTATAAATGCCCACTGCTGAGCAAAGCCTCTCCTCACACGGAGAAGGCTTGAGCATTAATCAATGCGGGTTGGTGATTTTAAACTTATAATTAGAAATTATAAGCCTAGGTTTCCTCGCGATGTTTTCCTTCACCGTTTGTCAGTGGTGTCTGATTAATCTTAGAAAGTACATATAACTCGGAAAAAGTCATATTGGTACTTGCCGTTGGTAGGTTAACCCGCATCCTCATGCATGAGGATGCGATCTTAAACCTCCGGGCCACCGCAACACCTTTCCTTTTGTCAGTGAAAGGATTTGATAGAGATGTCATTAATGTGGACTTTTTTAATAATTCGTAGACACTGTCTAGCCATCCTGTCTGGTGCTTAGCGATGGCTTCGAATAAAACACGCCTGTCCGTCTACAACCAACTCCCTCGGAGACACCAAATCGTATCTGGCTCTGGTGGTACCTACTTGATGGCAAAAAAAGCGATCCTTATTATTTTAAAGAACAAAAAAATCAAATCATCAAACTGAAACTTAACTAGAAACATCCAAACGGGGCTTAAATGTTATTTTAAATTTTTCGTAATTCTCAGTGGCTACACAAAGTAAGCCAGTGGTAGGTATAATACCTTAACTGAAGCAACGTTTGCGTTGTGTTTCGTCGTGTGAGTGAACCAGGGCCAGAGGCCCAATTACCCTCCCCTTCCCCAATCTCCCTAACTCCTGAATCCCCAACGATCCTCAAACTCCTAATCCCCAAAAAGCCGGTAACGCACTTGTAACGCCTCTGGTGTTCCAGTTATCCATGGGCAACGCCGATTGCTTACCATCAGGAGATCCGTCTGCTCGTATGCCATAAAAAAAATAGCAAGTACCAATGTAACTTTTTCGGAGTTATAAGTACTTTCTAAGATCATTTAGACACCACTGATAAACGGTGAAGGAAAACATCGCATCGTGAGGAAACCTGGGCTTATAATATATAATTATAAGTTCGAAATCGCCAACCCGCATTCAGCAAGCGTGGTGATTAATGCTCAAACCATCTCCGTGTGACAAGAGGCTTTGCTCTGCAGTGGGCATTTATAGGCTGTTGAACGCAAACCCGGGCTTATGATTTCTAATTATAAGTTTGAAATCGCCAACTGCAATGAGCAAGCGTGGTGGTTAATTAATCGCTGTGTGAGATCTTCTCCCGACCTTTGGTAAGCAGTGGCCACTTGTAGGCTGTTAATGTGTGATGTGTGTGTCAGACTCATAACATAAGTAACGGAACATGAATTCTTGAACTTCATAAACACTGCCATTAACAATTCAGTTTATTAAAATCCTGTGGTAATTGGATACGAATTAGCTCCTTTGATTTTGATGCGATAATTCTCAGATTAAATACGGCCAATTGTAAAAGATTTTTTGTGGCTGATGGATGTTTTATTAATTACTTATTGTATCATCACTGTACCTTACATAAGTACAAACTTACATAAGTTTGTCAACATCAAAATGACACAGTCTCAGCCACACTCTAAAGCATCTTGGGAGTAATAATTACTAGATAAATTTTTCATTTCCGAAACATTCATTCATACATACATAACTTCACGCGTGTCTCCCATGGAGGTAGGCAGAGACTATGGAACGCCCTATTTCGCTTCATGAACAGTCATCAATCTTTTCATGCATGCTCGTCGGGTGTTATTATGACTGCCTCATTGGCCGAATGGTCGCTAGTGTGACTACCGGGCAAGGGGCTTCGGGTTCGATTCCTAAATCTTTTAAAAATTCTCAGTAGTAGCACGGAGTCTGGAATTGTGTCTAGTATATAGCAATAGACTCACCCCCTGTTACATGGGACTGATACCATGAAAAGTAGGTGTTATATTGTAGTGTCATTACGTGCCGTAATGTGCAACTCAGCCTACCCCTTCGGGGGTAAAACACGTGATATTATGTTACGTAGTTATTATGTAGCTTATGTTCGATTTTTGTTAACATATCCAACAATTTTAGTAGAACAACACAACTGGTAAAACCTTACCACAAATTAGTTAACTACAACACAATAACCAGGATAACTTGACTGCACGGTTGGCGCAGTGGCTGGGTAACCGGCTGCCGCACAACGTCCAGCGGGTTTGATTCCCACACGACGCAACTCTTTGTGTGATCCACAAATTGTTGTTTAGGGTCTGGGTGTCACTGTCATATACAAGGTGTAGTTTTGAAACCGTGTCATTTCTCGGGGGCATGTCACAGAAGTCATAAAGGTTCACTGTAAGAGAAAATTTGGGGCCAATAGTTAAAATACGGCTATAATAAATCGTTTAAGTTCGACAGTATTTCAGAATAAGGGACAGAAATGTTTCTTATTGGAGTTTTATGGAATTAGGAATAATATCAACTACGTGTTTGAGTTTATGTGTGTTAAGCCGCGTTATAAAGCTAATTACAAGACGGCGGCGTGTACTTTGCACTTACGGATTTCCGTAATTTCAGAAAAATTTAAAATATTTACCTACAATTTTTTTTATTGATTCGGACTTAGAATCGATATCAGAGTTACTTCTTAGAAAATGACGCGGCTTTAAAACAACACCTTGTATATGTAAACTTGTATATTTGTAAACGCACCCACGACACAGGAGAAAATGCTAGTATGAAGGAACAAATAAAACACACAAGAAAGATAAAGTGCTTTTTATTAAATACAGAATTTATACATACTCCGCCGAATACAAAAACATCAACAATAATGATCGGATGAAATTAAAATCTCAAGTACCTATGAGCGACTAGCCTACAGCAATGAAGCTTCAACATTAGACACGGTACATAATTGACTTACTAATGACAACAAAGGCAGTGAATCGTGCGTGAAATAAAAAAAATCTAATAGAGTATTTAACAATATCAGTCCTTACTTAATATCTAAAGGGCCTAAGAAAGATTGAAACTTGGACTATTTCGCGATCTATTTTGAATCTAATGAATAATAAATAAGGTAACTTATTGAGATTGTCCCACAGGCCAGCGATGTGTTTGACATCGGTGTCCTGTGTGCCAACGTACTTTAGAGTTCAATTCAATTAAGGCCGTTTGCACACCGACGACTTGTAACTTTGCGATTAGTCGTAGGTACTCTTACGTTCCTATAAAATTAAACTACTTTTTGTCTAATTTTAAGTCAAGCTGTAATTTAGTATTTATCGCTTCATTGAATTAAAACATTTGATGTCTCTTGTTATTATCACCAAATGCAATATTTAGATATCGTAATCGCTTCTATTATCGATAACCAGTAACAAGATAAGTTGAAGGTCTTTGTGAACAAATTAGTGTCGTTTAATCCTCGGCTATTTATTTTTAATATTCGCCGTTTCTACACTTTTTAAGTGCATCTATAAATAAATATGTTGTGAAGTTTTATCGGTATTCCTAAGTCTACGTAAACCTACAGTAGTGTGATGATAGTCTGATAGACATGAAATGATACTAAAACTCCATAGATAATACGCCCAAGAAACTACATCATACGCAATAATTTTAGACTTGCACAAAATTAGGATCCAGCTTTCACAAGTCTAAGTTGTAAAAAGACTTGTCGCAAGTTTAGTCGCGATAGTTAAAGTCGTCGGTGTGCGTCCGTCCTTGTTTAAGAGATGACTACACAGCGTTGCCCGCACTATGAACATTGCCGTTCACACTCAGTGGAATGGTGTTGAACTCATCTTCGACATCATCGCCTTCTTTCCTGCGAAAAAAAAAGAAAAAAGGTTAGTTAGTATTTTAAAATCTTACGTGCTTTAATACGGTATTTGCCAGCTAGTCAAATTCAATACTTTTTTCGAACTGTCAAAAACGACAGTTTTCTGTGAATTTTGTACGAGATTGTGTATTGTGACGTCACGTTTTTTTTGCGTCAAACAGCGTACTTATTTATTTAAAAAAATACTGGAAAAATAGCAACATTAAGTTGGTCATAAAATCAATTAATGAAAGTAATTAGTTTATAATATAGAGGTATTACTGTATTAGTCGAAATGTTTTTTTTTTTTGTTTAAGACGAGTACCGCTTTACAAGAACGGTCGAACGGTCATAATGGTGTAATTACACAATGAAATATTCTTCCTAACAATATTATAAATGAAATTTTGTTACTTGAACACGTCAAAGTGGCTAAAAGGATCGGGTTGATACCTATTTGGAACAGGGATAGATTATAATATGGTCTGAAATAACACATGGGCTCCTTTTTATACGCGAGCGAAACCGCGGGCAGAAACTAGTATGACAATCTTCTATTTAATTCTAATCGTAGAAAGGACAAAACTGTACATTGAATATTAAAAAAAAATACTTGGCGCCTAATCTACAATCGATACCGAAACCAAAAATATACTTTTTAAATTTTTTGTCTGTTTGTCTGTATGTATCTCCGGGCTAAACTCAAAAAGTACTGCATAGATTTATTTAGTTTCAATTTTGCATGAATATTACAAACAGTCAAGTCAATATATAGGCTACATATAATCATGCTATCACCTACGGGAGAGGAGAACTATCTAAAGTCGCTATTCCACGCGGACAAAGTCGCGGGCATCTACTAGTAAATATACAATAACAATCAACGTTTATTTAATACGTAGTGACAATATTTTTTTTAATACCAATTATCACCAGTATTAAACCTATTACACATTTATTTGTTTTTGTTCATACATTCCAAGTTATTTTTTATTGTAAGTACATGGCAAGCCAAAAATATGGAATTGAGTTATAGTTATTTAAAAACCCAAATATATTCAGATTTTTATTCGTTAACCATATTTTGTGTTGCAGTTGTACTCGTTACGACTATATAAAATCAAGTCGTCTTTAAAATCTGACTACGATAAATATTTTTGTTTATTTCTGAGATTTATATTGTATGTTTGTAACTATTTTTTTGTAATTTAATTAACATAACATAACATCACGACTTTTTATCCCCGAAGGGGTAGGCAGAAGTGCACATTTTGGCACTTAATACCACTGCACAATGTAACACCCACTTTTCACTATTTATGTTATGAGTCCCATGTAATAGGGGGTGAGCCTATTGCCATATACCGGGTACATTTCCAGACTCCCTGCTACTACTGAGATTTTTAAAAACCCAGTAAATTAATTGTATTCATGAAATCCTTAACGTTCGTAATTTTATGATTTACGTCGATTTATTGAAATGTAATTATCCTTTTTGATAAAAAACAATATTAAATTTATCTATCATCTTAATTAACTAAAAATCGTAGGTTACTCACGTGAATATACTGAGAAAAGCTCTACTAGTTTCGAACCACAGAGGGGTTCTTCCTCATGAGCAGCGCGCGCGGTCGCGGCGATGTCGCGTATATTCACGTGTATTCACGTGATCTCAGTATATTCACGTAAGTAACCCGCGATTTTTAGTTAATTTAGTATGTCTCACGATAGTTATTATAAAAATCTACCATTTTGTTCAACGTAATCACAGAAAGAAATCCTTACTATATATTAATATTATAAATCTGAAAGTGAATTTGTTTGTTTGTTTGTTTGTTCCACCATCACGCCGTAACTACTGAACCGATTGCTTTGAATTTTTGCAGACGTAAAGTTGGACGTCCGGATTAAATAATAGGGTACTTTTTAACCCGGAAAAAATTGATATTCCCGAGGAAAAACAAAAGTATTGGTATATATGGCGCTGTGTGTATTGGTATATGTCACATAGGCTACTTTTTATTCTTTTGTGACGCGAGCGAAGTCGCGGGTAAAAGCTAGTACTATATAAGTAACTGAAATAGGTTTAAAAAGTCCCTAAATAGAATTCATTACCTAATTATTTTGTCCAATTGTTATGTAAATAACTTAAGCCCTTATTCAAACTTGAGAAACAAGGATCCTTTACTTAATCTCAAATCGGGATAAGCATTTAGGAGACTAGATCAACGAAGAAAACTTTCTGAATACTGAATTTCAGTCGTAAAGAAGTATTTAGGAAGGCTGATTAGGAAGATCCCTGAGACTGTCACTTTCATTAGTCAGATTGTTTATGTTTTAGTTTTTGTTTTAAGTTTTCTTTTGTATCGATTTCCTTGTTCAAAGGTTGGGTGGCTTGTGAGTTTTCTCGATTTTTTTTTTTAAGTTTTAAGTTCCATTATAGGAGTAGTAGTCGCTAAGTTACAGATGCAATGCTTTATTCTGAGCTAATAAAATAATTAAACCATTTATTACAATATTTTGTTAATTAGTTTTGTTTGTGGTTTTCTTTATATTTGATTCGATCAATGGTGTTTTAGAGGGAAATTACGGAAACCTCTGTAAAGTTATTTCGATGTATTGTACGAATTATCCCTAAATCTAAAAAAAAATCTTTTTTCTTTCTCCTTTCCTAGCCTTTCCCTAGGTTAGGAAATTCCCCAAAGTTATTAGTAATTAACATGTTTGTAAGATAAGTAGTTTATCGTCAAGACGCGTTTGAAAAGTGCAGTTTTTAGCTACATCGTGCTTGGGCGGCTTTAACCCTCTTAATGTTTAATTATAAAATATACTTATTTAAAAAGTATAACTACTATTTACACAGCATACGTATTATGATTGTATATAAAACTGATTTATCTATTTACATCTCGAAAAACCTAAGCAAACTATTATCAAAAATTCCTAGCTGGTTCTTATTTAGTTATAGCTACATTATAGGACTTCTTTCACTCTCAGCCTTCAGGATTTACTATTTGTACTGAGTTCTATTTATCTACTATATATAATATGTCGAAATACTCAAACGCCACTCAATTTTTAGTGCCACGGAAAACCTAACGGTAACCACCGGGGCTCCGGCTCGACGTGCAGGAGAAGGAACGGGGTGGTTTTTAGTCAGTAAGAGTCTGACACTAACTCCCGCCTCATCCAGGCGGGAGCAGTCATTCGATGATTTTCTCCCCTTAAAAAAACTCAATTTTAAGTCACGCCTAAATATAGTTCTGTCACTTTTTGACTGCACGGTTAGTGCGGTGGCTGGGCAACTGGCTGCCGCGCAACGTGTCGCGGGTTTGATTCTCGCACGGAACAACTCATTGTGTGATCCACAAATTGTTGTTTCGGGTCTGTGTGTCATGTGTATGTGAACTTGTATGTTTGTAAACGCACCCACGTGTAGTGTGGGGCAACGTTTTTTAAAAAGACAAAATCTACATATTCTTTGTAAAATGACAGAGACGATTATGTAAGTACAACTTTAAATTGAGTAGCGTTTCAGCATTCGGGCGATAGACTCGTAAATCTTGCCTTAAAATAAAATCTTCATCTTAAGTCCAAGTTAAAAATTCTCTAAATATATCTTGCAATGTTTATTATAGTACTGTATCATATTTTATATATCCCCAATGTTTTCAAAAGCCAATAGGTCCAGCCGCTAGAAGCATTTGCCGTAGCCTGCTGTGCCGTTATTCTAGAGAAAAAAATAAATAATTTTATTAAAATAAAAAAATACTACTACTCTACCTCCCTTGTGCAACTTCTTAAAAATAAAATTTTGACTTTGACTTTGATAAAAAAAATATTTCATAAAAGTAGACGTCGAAAATCGTCTCTCATCTCTATTTATATTATTGGGAGACAAATTTATTTCATTATTTTTACTTGTTATGTAAGAGCATACAGTAAGTATACAGCCAGTGGTGGCTATGTTCCATATAATTAAATTATAAGTGAGTCCAATACCACCCACTAGACTCAATCCCAGACTCTGTACTGTATCATTAACCCTTAGAGCGTCACGTCAGTCACCGGTGCTGACTTTAATAGAAGTTTGACTGTCACAATTTTAAATTTAGCAGTTAATAAAACTGAAACATACTAGATTAATATTTTCCCCACTCAATCGAACAAGGGATTTTCTGTCGACAGTCACACTTGTGACAACACGATCAACGAGGCGTTTTTCTTTTTCAAAATTACGGTCTTCTATTTCGATAATGTTATGCAGTACCTATAATTTCAGATCAATTACGTTTGCACTGGATTTATTTGCCAAATAAAATGAGCTGTCCTTTTATCAGCATTCTACAAAGTAAGTTTACCCTAAACATTTGTACGATAAACGGTAGCTCGTCGGTTGTCAAATCAACGCTAATGGACCGACTTCCCGTCACCCGCAAGCCAACTCGTGCGCACGACTGGACAATTACGCTTCACATGTATGTGTATAGGTAGCGACCGCTAGAAGTCAATGGGATAGAATATTACAAATATTTTTTGATTATATTATGTTTTTTTCTGGGACGAAAAAGCTACTCTAAGTGTTTTACAAACATTTTTTTATGGCATAAGCCAGTAAACGAGTAGACGGATCACCTGATGGTAAGCAATCGGCGTCGCCCCTGGATACCTGGAACACCAGAGGCGTTACAAGTGCGTTACCGGCCTTTTGGGGATTGGGAGTTTGAGGATCGATGGGGATTCAGGAATTGGGGAGATTGGGGAAAGGGAGGGTAATTAGGCCTCCGGTAACTTCACTCACACGATAAAAGACAACTCGAGCGATGCTTCACGTCGGTTTTCTGTGAGGCCGTGGTATCACTCCGGTCGAACCGGCCCATTCGTGCCGAAGCATGGCTCTCCCACACTTAATAATAATAACTTAACATGCAGTTAAATCAGAAAAAAAATGGATGTCACAAAAAATTGTCATATGAAGAAATTCGACGCACGACTATGAAAAATCATGTCTGCCAAATCGTAATTTTAGTATTGAAGTTAATATTCCTAGTAATGTATCAGGAATCGAATGAAACGCGTTCGTATCAAATCCCAAGTTAAGTAAGAGCACATTCTCTTTGACAGTTTTCTTTTAAGGAGTACCTAATGGATTTTTATTTTAATGTCCGTCGGTAGATTATTTAAAAAGATTAGACACGTATTTTAATTTTTGACGGAAACGTATAGTTTCGAAGATATATTGATTTGAAATATTGCGTGACGTCACTTCTATGTACATTTTATACGTAGAAATGATGTTTTAGCCCCCACTCCTAAACTTTGATTCGTTATATCTAAGTATCATTTTATTATACAACAAAATAAAAAATACGTGTCTAATATTTTTTCATTACCTGCCTGACGGACTTTATATTTTTAATTTTTATTCCCTGTCATCATTCCTATTATAGAACTATGCAAAGGATCGAATTAGATTTAAGTTAACTCTACTGCAAATAGTAAAATCAGATATAATTATATACCCTTATTTATTTTATTAGAAACATTATTCAAGTTGTAAACCTTTACATATATTTAATATATTTTGAGGTCTTCGACCGAGACAGGCATTGGAACGCCTACACGCGATCGTTTCATACAATCGATTTTATTACATCAGTTTTGTGCCAAGGACTATATCATTTAGCCGTTATGTAAAAAGGTTTAGTGTTGTCGTGTCTAATGGTTTACTGGTGTAAGATATTATACAGGCTTGGATAGAAAAACAACAAATTATTTTGATGATTATTAGTTTTTCAATTTCGAGCAACCATTTACTTAATTCCATTAAGTTTTAAATAAAATATTGCCAAAAATTTGCTTCTGAAGCTAATAAAAATAGATCGCTTATTAACATCACATAATATTACGCCTTTTTATCCCCGAATAGGTAGGCAGAGGTGCACATTAAGACACTTAATGCCACTGTACAATGTAACACCCCCTTTTCACTATTTTTGTTGTGAGTCCCATGTAATAGGGGGTGAGCCTATTACCATATGAGATTTTTTAAAAACCCAGTAAGTAATACTTTGTCCAACCCGGGAATCGAGCCCTCGAATAGACTGTTCGGCCAATGAGACAGGTCGTTTATTAAGAATATAATTATGTATTTCGAAATCACTATTTCTTTTTTAAGTTTTCAAGAACTGGATTGGCTTACTTTATGGAAAAGTATTACTTATATACGAATTTCCACCCAGGACCTCAAATGAAACTACAAACTAAATGTAATAAATAACTATGTTATATTTTACACTCACCTTTTCCTGTACTTGTATATGATGAGTACGATTAATGCGTTGCCGACGAACAGCGCAGCTATGAGTAGCGATGGTATGACTATGTCTGAAAATAAAGATACAGTTTAGTATTCTAGAATACCCTAAATAACATTCTTAATTGAAATCTAAAAATATATGGCAAAAAATATAGTTATTGTTGTCAATATCAGATACCGACCAAGTCTGTTCTTAAATATAGTGGGGTGTTATAGGATGTTTAATAAGTTAGTTGTATAAATTTCTATTTAGAATTCAAGACTATATTTCACACAAACAAGGAATGAGCATTGATCACCCAATTTTACAAAACTCCCTCTCTCTTTCTCTTTACATTACATAACATAACATCACGCTTATTATCCCCGTAGGGATAAGCAGAGGTGCACACGGAAGTAACATCCACTTTTTCACTATTTATGTTATGAGTCCCATGTAATAGGGAGTGAGCCTATTGCCATATACCGGCCACATTTCCAGACACCGTGCTACTACTGACATTTTTTTTTAACTCAGTAGAACTTTGCCCGACCCGGGAATCGAACCCGAGACCCCTTGCCCAGTAGTTGCACTTGCGACCACTCGGCCAACGAGGCAGTCATTTATTATTTATAATAAGGCTATTTATTAAAAAAATGGAAACCACAACAAATACAGTCAACAATCTCATTTGAAGAAATCGAAAATAACATTACAGATACCTACTGAGTAAATATCCTGTTGACAAAGATAAAGAATTCAACAACAAAAGAATCGAAAGATTGATAAAGAAAGCAAAAGAAACTGACAAAACCATTTTCCCTTTACCCGTCATTATGTATCTTCAATGACTTGAGAATGTACCTACATATACGATTTTATTTTGTCAAATTGCCATCGTCAATAGCCTAACGATTTGTTCCCTCAACAAATTATTTGGCAATATTTTTAGACCGTACCAAAACGGTCGGCTACGGGACCCTATTAGCAGAGGTCCCTTCTATCAATCCGTCGACAGGTTTCCGATGTAATTTCGGAAAGTTTTTTGTGGATAAACTGCTGATTTTTCCACAATTAGACTAATAAATTGAGACATAACATAACGCCTTTTTTCCCCGAAAGGGTAGGCAAAGGTGCACATTAAACCACTGTACAATGTAACACCCACTTTTCACCAGTGATGTTATGAGTCCCATGTAATAGGGGGTGAGCCTATTGCCATATACCGGGCACAATTCCAGACTCCGTGCTATTACTGAGAATTTTTTAAGAATCCAGTAATATTTTACCTGACCCGGGAATCGAACCCGAGACCCCTTGCCTGGCAGTCGCACTAGCGACCACTCGGCCAACGAGGCAGTCAATTGAGACACTAAGTATATTTTTAAATACTATTTTTTTTGCAGTCCAATGATTATGATTGGGGTCATATAAATCAGCTACAGTATGAGACGATGACTTTTGGAAACAGTAAATCCAACTAAATTGTAGAATCACAAATCAACTAACAACGTCATTTAGATAAATTAACCCAGTAATAATACTCATACTAAAAAAGTTATTAATTATAATAAAAGAACATCACAATACTATTAATTCACTACGAATTCTTATGACACTACAATAGAAAAAAAATAGAGCATTCCTAAAAATGAATGTGCGTCACATAGTTCTTTATATCCAACGTTAAAGTACTATGAATATAAGAAAATCTATTAATCTTCACCCTCCTTTTTGCTGCCAAAAACCTGACCTCCTCTTTAGGTTTCACATCCCTGGGGATTTCGGTCTAGAGAATATTCAAATTCCTTTTTTGTATGGGCTAAAGCACCTATGGCTTATATTTTCTGGACTTGTAGTATAAAATACTGTAATATGGTTTCAACTTTGTCATGTTTTGTTAAATGATATTACAAAAGTCTTTACTATCTTATGAGAATGTTCGTCATAGTAATCTCTATTCATCATTCCCGGAAAACTGACAATAATGTTACGAATAACAATAACGTTAGACAATAATGTGTTCTGGATTCGCATAATTTTTCTTCTTCATTTTTCTGCACTACTCCTGAAACTACACTTTGGAACGAGCGCTCAGCATCACTATCAGACTGACGGACGTACAATTAAATTTTTTACGTTTCAAAAGTGCTAAATTAAGGATTAATTGAAATAAATGCTTTAACTTTGACTAAGACTTTAACTGCAGTTTCCTACGGTTGACTGTCAGAGAATACCATAAGGCATAAAAATCGGAATACTGAAACGTTACTCAATTTTAAGTCATGCTTAAATATCGTGCTATCTCTGTCATTTCACAAAGAATTTGTGGTGACAGAACTATACTTAAGCGTGACTTAAAATTAAGTAACGTTTCAGTATTTGGGCATAAGTCCGCTATTAACTCATTCATTAAATTTTTCGTGAGGAAGTTATAAATAAATAAGGTTTTATCAAAAGTACTTTAGTAAGTACCAAAACTAGCAATAGGGTCCAGCACTCCCTTCCGCCTCACCCAGGCGGGAGCAGTCATTCGAAGATTTTCCCCCCTTAAAAAAAATAATGAAAAAAAACTAGCAAATATAGTCCAAACACAATCTTAGATTCTTTCCTTGCACAGCAACTTTAAAAAGTCGCAGTTATTCACAGCACTATCAGATCCAAATTTGCAACTGAACAAGGCACCAGTTATTCATATTTTCAGTTACCAAAGTTGAACTTTAATAGCAGTAACCTTCAAACAAAAGGCTTGTCAAGGTTCCGGAGACCTTGACAAACCCGCAGCGGGTCATTACTTCATAGTTCTATGAAAACGGACGTAACAAAGTTATATGAATGTCAAACTTTTATAGAGTACAACAACATACAATGAGTATTTGGCTCTTTTTTTTAAGGGGGAAAAATCATCGAATGACTGCTCCCGCCTGGGTGAGGCGGGAGGGAGTGTCAGACTCTTACTGACTAAAAACCACCCCGTTCCTTCTCCTGCACGTCGAGCCGGAGCCCCGGTAACCTGTTAGGTTCTCCGCGACAGTATTTGGCTGTAAGCTCGTACTTACCATTTAAGTTTAAGCTAAATACAAGCAAAATTTTTATCGACTTGATCGGAAAAAAAACTAATGTGCGAAAACAGATAGAAAACTATGTTTTATATTACCTCTTTTAAAAGAAATAACGAACGAAATCACACGACAGACGACACTCTAAGTAACTCCTATATAATGTTCTAAGAAAGACTAAGTACTATATCAGAAGGTTCTATTCTTGCGAAGTAAATATTAAAAAGTTCTAAAAACATATAACTCAGTATCAATATGAATCACACATACAACAAGCATAATAAACCTGAGTGTCAAAGCTTGATTAATTAACGCATTCGTAACGCGTTCTGATTGGTTGGTTCATTGAAGCCGGCCAATCAGGGCGCCGAACGCGCTCGATATTATTATGTCACGAATGCGATAGTTATTCGTGCTTGACACTCTGAAAACATACCCAAAATTTGTCAAAATCTTTCACAACAAACAGATAAGAGAAGATAATCAAGTTATTGAAAACTCTTCAAGTAAAGTCCGAATCGTAAAGTTGCACAAACTCTGAATGGGATACAATTATTAAGTTTCCGTACATTTTGTCTTAGATATTCAATTTGCATAAATACAAGCCTTTGTAACTTATACAGAAATACATCTAACAATATACTTCGGTTTGCTTACCAGTGTAACTTGGTTGCGTTTTACAAAGAGATAATGTTTCAAAGATGATTTTAATCTTCATATGTTTTTGCTTTCTCATTATTAAATCAAATCAAATCAAATCATTTATTTGCTTATATGGGTAAATTATGTTGTTTGCAGATAAGTAGATACAGTTCCGACCATATTACGCCTTGAGGCATGCAAATTACAAAATTATAACATGGAATATTTAAAAATACCTTCCCAAAATACCTTCCCAGCAGTTTAAATTACCTTTAGACAATCTCCAATCCATCAACATCCCCTGGCAGGCCAATGCTAGACTATGCGTCTTCCGAGGAAACGGAGAAAAACAGAATCTTCTCTACATGAAACCTAATTCTTCTCTCATTATCATTTGCATTATATCTACATTTCTCTATCAAATAAATAAATCGAAATTCGGGATACTCACCAACCATCATATCGGGGACGTCGTGAGGCGCCAGGGTGGTGCTGTACTGTTCTTGTCTTTTAGAATCTCCCTCGGGGTCTGTCACACCCGCCTCTTCTGCAAGAGCAAGAAAAATAGGTTCAGAATCAGTATTAGTATCATCAGTGTCGTACACTTGTGTCTGCAACTCATCAATAGGATCATTTCTTTTAATCTTCTTTTGAACTAATTCTTCTGTTGTGTGATTTATCATTAATAATGGTTTTTCTGTCGCATATTCCTCTGACGCTATTACTGTAATGCACATTTTTAGAATTACTATTATATTTGTTGCAATTATATTCTTTGTCATTGTATTAGGTATAGAATAGACAATTCTGACAATGTCAACTTTTATCTTTTTTTAAATCAATTTATGGAAGGGTTTTTGTTCGTAGTAACATTGTTATTATTAAAAAGGTCGGTTGTAGTAAGTAGATAATCAAATTGATGACCAATGACCAAAGTAAGTTAAACTGTAGAATACATTATGTGTGCATTGCATAATATTGTAAACATGAAAGTAAATTGGCGCAGCGAGGAATGACGAGGGCTACGCTCGGACTTTCTCTGAAGGATAGGATCCGTAACGAGGTGGTCCGACAGAGAACTAAAGTTACCGACGTAGCCCAAAGGATTAACCAGCTAAAATTGCAGTGGGCTGGTCACATTTGTCGAAGAACCGATGACCGTTGGGGTAGACGTGTTCTGGAATGGAGACCGCGTCTAGGCAAACTTAGTGTAGGAGCCCTCCAGCAAGTGACTGGTAATGGTTGGATGCTTAGAGCTGACGATCGAGATCATTGGTGTGTCATTAGAGAGGCCTATGTCCAGTGGACGAGAGCACGCTGATGATGGTGAAAGTAAATTGCCTGTTTATAACCTTATCACTCCAGAGTGATTTTGATCACTATTCTACAGATCTAGAACGATAAGATCTCTTTTTTGTATTGTAACTTTCGTGAGACATACTAAATAAATTATTATGTTTTCGGCTTACTCGCGTAATAATTTGACGAGGAACTCGACTAGTTTCATAGTACTGTAGCAGTACCAGTACCAGTAGCAGCGCGACAGTCGCCGCGTCGCAGGTCGCGAAATGCTGCTCAAGAATATGAGCCTCTAGCATGGCTTGAAACTAGTCGAGTTCCTCGTCAAATTATTACGTGAGTAAGCCGAAAACATAATAATTTATCTCCTCACTGTTATTTTAATAGCTACTTAAATGGTATAATCAAACATTGCATGAGAAATATAGCCCACATATAACAAGGAAACACACAAAAATAATAATGAATCTTATCATAAAAAATAATGAATTTCCTTTATTATATCGCTCATAGCTTTATTGTTTTTATTTTGAGTAACGAACGAGCTGAAACAACGTCCTAATTACTTCAGGATCGAACTAAGGCCATTATTTAAAGCAATCACACGTTTAACCATTAAACCACGCAATGAAAATAGTCTCAGAATGAATTTTCATCGAACTTTTGACTTTATATCAAAAGAATACATTTGAAAATCGATTAAAGATGGAAAGAACTAGATGTCTACTGGCGTCTGTACTCTGTCTGCAGCATAATTATCTTGAACGGAAATTATAAAATAGTTTTCTTAAGTAAAAACGTGTAGCTGACTAGTAAACTATGAAGATACTATCTACGTTGATGTTTCAACGTTTTATAAAAACAGCTGCTGTATTAAATAAGGCAGGCAATTTGTTATAATTACAACGTTATTTAAGAAACATTTTAAACTCATTTAAAACTGTAGGTAGTATCAACATGGGTATAATTATGTAGGAGAGCGTCATTTAATAGTAGATGAGTCTATAGCTATATATCGGGCACTTTCCAAACTACATGTTAAAAACTAAACGAATAGTGAAAAAACGAAAATACTTTTACGAATATTTTTACGTAAACCAGGAATAAAAATGAAGTGTTTTTGCTCGACGGTTGCAACTATTCGACCAACGAGGCATGTGGATAAAGATGTCATTTTATTCTCTCTTTTTATCATACTATCCCCAAATTTTTCGGAGTCGCGGAGAACCTAACGGGTTACGAGGGCTCTGGCTCGACGTGCAGGAGAAGGAACGGGGTGGTTTTTAGTCAGTAAGAGTCTGACACTCCCTCCCGCCTCACCCAGGTGGGAGCAGTCATTCGATGATTTTCCCCCCTTAAAAAAAAAACCTAGACTCCATGCTACACCCAAGAGTCAAAGTCAAAAGCATTTGTTTAAATTAATCTGTAATATTAAGCACTTTTGTGACGTCACCATTGGATTGTCCGGTAGTCTACTTATAAGTGAAAGTAGGTGTTTGTTTCTAAATGTAGTTTCGAATGGAGAAGAACAAGCAAGAAAGTCCTTTCGTTAAAAATCACGCCTTTTGTCCCCGAAGGAGCACATTACGGCACTTAATGCCACTGTACAATGTAATATCGACTTTTTACTATTTATGTTATAAGTCTCATGTCGTAGGTGTCTTTTAAAAATGTTTTTACCATCTCATTTATACATCTATACTTCTATACTAATATTATAAAGCTGAAGAGTTTGTTTTTTTTGTTTGTTTGTTTGAACGCGCTAATCTCCGAAACTACTAGTCCGATTTGAAACTTTTTTTCTATTTCGGTTGGCCTATTTATTGGGGAAGGCTATAGGCTATAAAATATCACGCTACGAATAATAGGCGCCGAGCAGAGCGAGTGAAACCGCGCGGAAGTAGCTAGTTATTTAATAAGTTCTTAGTGCTGTATACCGTTAGATCCAGTCAAAAACAATTCCACCTCATTCTATGTAAATTCAATTCACCGAGAATGGTCTGAGGAAAGCAATCACGCACCTCAGGAGACCAAGGGACGAAGAAAAACGTCAAATAAATAACCACTTTTAATATCTACGTAGCAGAGTCCATTTCTCTATGAAAATATTATGTAAATTTTCCCGTCTGAACGTAGAAGTAGTGTTTAAGATAGGATTTTATGAAATCCGAAAGAATGTATAAAATATGATCGTAAAACGGAGTTTATAAAGACCGGTGCATTCGTACATTTTGCATTTTTGAAGGATTTAAACTAAGTACACTGTAATGTATTTTTAAAGTTATAGCTTCATATTTTATTTCGGATTTTCTAGGATTTCGTTCTTTGTTATAAAACTTTATGCTTAAGGTAAAGGCTCCAGTCGCTGGACGGGTGGTTAAATAAGTAAGTAAAACAACTATTTGTCTATTTATTCTACGTATTTTTTTTTTTATAAAACGTTGCTTCGCACTAGTATTTTCTCCTGTATCGTGGGTGCGTTTACAAACATACAAGTTCACATGCACATGACACGCAGACCCGGAATGAAATCTGTGGATCACACAAAGAGTTGCCCCGTGCGTGAATCGTACCGGCAACACGTTGAGCGGCAGCCAGTTGCCCAGCCACCAATTTACTTTTTAACAATAGATATATCAAGAGTGTAATAGATATTTTTGACAATTACTATCTAAAAAAAAAATTAGTTTGAAAATTAAGCTAAACATCGGTTAAAATTATACGAAATTATTTAAAAAAAAAATTAATATATTGTAGGAATAACGTCAATTGCGAGAATCCCATGTGAACTTTTTTTGTAAACAAAAAATCCTTTTATAATGTCTGTCTCTCAAGGGTAAGACTTTTACCCAGTCTGCCATACCTGTCTCGAGGTTAAAATGACAATTACAGCGACTATTTACATAGGACACGTTTTGTTCGAAATTTTATGCATGTTAAACATGTCCCCACACTTAAGAGCGACCTACACTTAGAGGCAAGAGACAGGAATTGGTCCGTTTACCCTACTCCGGTCAAGTGTAAAAAAAATTGAAATCAAAATACCTAGAAGCTCTAGGTACTAAATACCCTCTTTTGCGTCCCTTATCGCAACTGGAGAGTTTTAGCTAAAAATATTTTTTTAAATCAGAGTTTTTATGGAATGCTTTAAAATATGCAACGAAACCTGTCGTACTACAATAACGTAACCGAAATTAATATTTTGACTTCTAAATTAGAAATTATCTAACCATTCACACGTCCAGGGATTTTAAATTTAATACAGAGCCATCTAGTATTTTGTAACAGTACTTGTAATACCAAAATAAAACGCTAGATGGGTTTGAAGTAATTTACGTGCGTCGTTTGGATACTAGCGTCCCCATGGATGTGTGAGTGGTTAAATGTTTAAAACAATCCTACAAATCAACTGCAATAACCTAAAAGCTAATTATTACATTGCCAGAGGCATTGAAACAACAATAATTAATATTTTGAACATCCTCTACCTAATATTGTAGTATGATAGTTCCTTTGTGTGACATAATTATTAAATCGAATGTCAGTAGTTTACATGGCAACATTAAAATGTAGGTACTATTCCATAGAATATTTAGATGCACACACATCAAATTACACAAAACCAGTATAAACTGACCCTCGAATATGCGGAAAGATCATACAAAGCGAGGCCTTGATAAACTGGTTTTATATTTAGAGTAAGACAACAGCAGATCAAGCTATCCAAAAATGGCAATTATGTTCATTGCACTTTCAACTCTATACTTTTGAGTTAAGGTTGACAATGTTTTGTGTGTACGTATAATAATATTTCTTACAGTGACGTGTAGGTAATACTCGAGGGTATACGTCTGAGATGTTTTTGTGACTAGTGTCTGCAAAAAGTGGGGTTGGTCATGAGTTTATGTGTGTGACTGTACTTAGTTAGGGTTGACCCAAGGTGTACGTTTTTACTTCTACATAAATTCGAAAATTAAAAAATATTACTATCTATCAATAATTGTATCTTCTTTATAATTTACTAGCTTTTACCCGCGGCTTCGCTCGCGTCACAAAAGGATCAAAAGTAGCCTATGTGACATATACGAATACACGCAGCGCCATCTATACCAATACTTTTTTCCCTCGGGAATATCAAATCTTTCCGGGATAAAAAGTATCCTATTATTTAATCCGGACTTCTAACTTTACGTCTGCAAAAATTCAAAGCAATCGGTTTAGTAGTTACGGCGTGAAAGCGGAACAAAC